CGTTCGAGTAAACGAACGAGAAAGAAGGGGAGAAGAGAGAGAGAGAGAAAAAAATGTGTCCTTAGAAAGCGACGCGTGCAGCAACGGTGGTAATTTATCGAGGAATTAGCGTGGCGCTCGCGCGCGTGTTCCTCCAACATAGACGAGGGAAAATTGTTTCCCTTCGCCGCTTTTTGCCCGACCTAACGACACTTCTTTCGCAATTACTACGCAATTACAACCGTCCAGTTACTATAATCGAATGAAACTCGCGTAATTGCGCGTAGGAGGAAGCTGCTTCAACTTGGTAATAGTGGAGGAAGGAGAGAGAGAGAGAAGTGTATGCAAGTTGATCGTTGCGTCGATTCGATTGTTCTTGCTGTTCTGAGCTACGTAAGCGGAGAAGTAAGTTCGTCGTGCGGAAAATAGTGGAAAAAGGAAACGAGCTTGAATCGACGAAAGAGAGAGAGAGAGAGAGAACGCGATTCGAGCAAGCAAGCACCGTTCAGTCTGTTGTTTAAACAAAATACAGAAGAGGAGAAACGCTCGCCGCGCGTCCGTTGCGCAATCGTTCGCTGGTTGGAAAAATTTAATTAGTCCCTCCACGGCTTCTATAATGAGAACCGTGTCTTCGACGACACGGGCAAAAAGAACCGGTACGTATTTTCTTCCGTTAAATAAGAGTAGCCAACGCGAGAGCTAGAAAGATGAATATGCATATTTCGGCGTGAACACGGCGACTAATACGAACGCTCGATCCACGCCGATACCATTAACGCGCGACGCTTGCGATGGGGAACAGCCTGGCTTCGGGACAAATCAAGGCAATCGAAACTGGTCGCTCGAGCAATTTGCTCTGGGAAGCTTGACTGGGAGTAGAGAGAGAGAGAGAGAGAGTGAGAGAAACGTTTCTGCCGCAATTTAGGCAACTATAGCTGAAATTTGCAGCTGCAAGCTTTCGACAATACCAAAGAACATCCTAACCAAGCTCTTTCTTATTTATTTTCAGTGTCGCAAAGAAAACACACACCGTTTCATTCTCTATCACCTGATCTGTACATTTAAACTAGCCTGGAAGTGACCAAGATCCGTAAACATTCCTACGACAACACAACCGTACCACAAAGTGTTCCGTACACACTTTCCCCCGGGCGAAACGAGACGGTGAATGTCGAAAGAGCGTGTAAACCGATTATGTATTCAACTCTTACAATTTTGTCTCCGGTGAAACACTTCATCTGGTTCATCCGTGACGCGATGGCGCTGTAGTGATGCGCGTGCACCTCCATGATCACTCGAGAGATTCTCCTTTCTGTGTCCGAAAAATTTCTCGTCTGGCCTCTCCTTCACGCGTGTTCACGGGGCCAATGATATCATTCGTCCTCGAACCAGAATTCACCGGTGCGAGGAGTACACACACACACACTCACACACACAGACAGAGGAAGAACGAGAGAGAGAGAGAGAGAGTTAGAGTTAAATCCTCTCGTTTGTCCACAGTCGACGCACCTTCGACATCGACCACCACCTCGTCGACAACTCTGATCCGCGAACAACCATTCAAAAGGGGAGAGAGAAAAGCTTCGATTCGTCCGTACACTCTTTTTCCCGGAATCGTTACGCGTCGCGACAATGTTGCGTTGCCGTCGGCAACCGACAGGCCTCTTCTTCTTCTTCTTGTCCTGGTTCGCTAGGCCGTGTCGAGCGAAGCATCCCGCGGATCGACGACCAGGTAGGTGGCGATCAGGCCCCGAAAAACCACCGGTAAGACAGAAGCAACGACACCGTGGTTACACCAGACAAAAAGCGGTCACAGAGTGTATGCTCGCTGGAGCAAACTCACAAACACACATCCACATACACAGAGAGAAAGAGAGATAAGATAGAGTGTGTATTGTACGTGGTTCGTGTGTGGAAGGTAAAGAAGGCGAGAGAGCACGCGCCACGAGAAGTGGAAAAAGGCGAACCGGTCCCGAGCGAAGTCAGCAGTGAACTGACTGGTCCGTGGCTGCTTTGGGCCTCTGAATGCCTCGCGAGGCCCCTGGATTCAGGTACCCCAGCCAGTCGGCCAGCCAGCAGGAGTGGGCCTTTGCTCCGATGGTGGGGGGAATAAAAAGGTGAGCCTAGAAAGGATCTAACTAACGTTGAGAGGGGACGAGAGACCCATCCATAGCTCCAGCCAGGCCGAACGAGGACGGTGTTACCGTGGTATAGGAAGGTTCAACGGAGACAACTAGCGAGGTATTATGGAGTGAAACATGCCGCGCGGCGAG